TTGAAGAGCAAACCCCACAGGACTTTGGGGCAATGGAGCGATCTTTAAGCTTAGGTAAGAGGAGCGTTGCTGCAGAGTGAATGAGGAAACTGAAAAACACCCACAAGGGAGAGAGAGAATCGTAGAATCATGGACTCTCAGGGTTGGAAGGGCTGGCTAATTGAGTTTCACTTTCAATCCAATTGCTGCTTGAATCGCTGAAACCTGCACGGCTTCAACATTGGAACTTCTGCTCCCTGTTTGTCGTTCCTTACACGTGTCCATGGTGTAACTCAAACTCCATTTTAACTTGTCCCAAACTCCATTTTAAAATGCTCACTCCATTTTGTAAACCCTGCTGCACCCTTCATTTTGCAAAACCCGGCTGTAATCTGATTAGTGTAGTTTAGATGTGGGAATGAGGTATGGATGGATGGGTATGGATGGATGATGGACTCAACCTCTAGCCCCAGCCTGTCCTGATGAAATAAGTGTAAATGCCAACGGCTGAAGATGCAACAGCCCTGACAAAGCAAGAAGAGTCCACCCTCAAAAGAAAAGGACAAAAGTACAACTGAAAAAACATCAAAGCTGAAAGTCATGTCTGCAGTTGACGGGTGATCAGTCACACCGACCCCAGAGGCAGCGTGACACAGCAAGACCTATAGACTCTGGATTCAAACTGAAGCCTACAAAAAGGGTGGATGAGATGGAAGACTTTGGAGGGTAACATTCTGCTGCCAACATGGAAGGGCATCGGTGCATGCCCCACAGAGACCCAGCCCTTCCTTGTGCCCGGCTTTCCTGGCCAGGTAGCCACCACAAGCTACGAACCCAAGCCACGAACTCAAGCTACATTCAGGACTGGTAACTATACAGCGGCTGCAGAACATTTGGGGTGTGTGTGTGTGTGTATATACACATAGGTATTAGATATTAGTTATTGGCCATAAATCAAATTGTGTTATAATAAACGTGACGTCTTGTCTTGTCCCCTGAAACGATCCTATGTAGTTTTCTCTGCATAACAGCTCTGCAGCCCCACTGTCACAGTTCTCACGCTGGGCAGGGATTCAGCAGCCCAGGTCAGGCACTCCCATGGGGGAGCATGCGTGGGGGGTGGGCTGATATACAGAAGGTCAGACTAGATGGTTACATCGGTCCCTTCTGGCCTTGGAAGCTATGGGCAGTTTTCCTTCCTGACTCCAGCCATTAGTGGTAGCTCTTGCCCTGAAGCATGAGAGTTTTTAGCCCTTATAAATACTATTCTGTGTGATCACGGAGCGGAGCGACAGATCAGTCAAATCCGGAAACTGAGTGGAGCTGTGGGTGAGAGATAGCGGGGAGGGGCTGTGATGGGTTTCCCCTGCATGCCACCTGGAACTGAACCCTCTGACCCACCAGCCTGGGCTCCCTCTCACCCTGTGCTGCTGTGACAAGCTGCAAAGCCCTCCAGCCTGCACTTTCACCAGCATTCACACAGGTAGGGACACACCCAGCTGCAGTTACATGCAGGCTCTCTAACAGCCAGCCTCCCAGCTTGGGACCCCAGAGCAGTACCATCCTGCCCTGGTCCAATCTGGCCAGTATGTGGGTTTAATACCTGGTCCGCCTCTCCCTCAATGTGAAGAGGACCATGCACACTTGTGGTAACCGAGCTGAGATTTTCCCCAGGCACCTTAGGCAAACGTACACTAGTTTAGATTAAAACATAAAATGAGTTTGTGAACTACAAAATGACAGATTTTAACACACTAGATAGGTAGGAGATGAATTAGCAAATTCTTACCCTGAGTGATAAACAGGCTGGCAGATTCTTAAGGCACAAGCTGCCTTGGCTTTGGAATGTGGGTTTCCCAGGTTTTCATACACAGGGTAGAAATCCCTTAGCCTGGGACCATCACTTCTCCCTGTTCAGTGTTTATTCCTCAGGGGTTTCCAGGTGTGTTGTAGGGAGAGTGAGTACCCGCCCATGATGTCATTTCCCCCTTTTATATCTTCTTCCCTCTTGCTTGAAAGCTTTTCCTCTGTGACCTGGGTCAAGCAGTTCCCATTGTGCAGAGCTATCTCTGAGAGGTTTCTCTTGCACACAGTTCCTGGGGTAATCCTGGTGCCTGTGTGCATTTTCTCAGTGAGCCATTAGCATTGTTTGCCCTTTTGACTGTTGTATCTGAAAGGCTGCTTGTGGGTGTTTTCAACCTCACAACACAACACGTACACAGCCCAACTTCATAACTTCACACATGACCATAGCACACGCAATCCAACAAGATATTAATGTCGAGCAGATCAAGACTTTTAGAATGATACCTCACAAGTAGGGCCCTACCAAATTCTCCCTCATTTTGATCAATTTCACAGTCATAGGATTTTAAAAATAATACATTTCATGATTTCAGCTATTTAAATCTGAAATGTCACAGTGCTGTAACTGGAGGGGTCCTGACCCAAAAAGGAGCAGTGGTGGTGGGAAGGGGGAGGTCTGCAAGGTTATTGTGTGTGTGTGTGGGGGGGGGGGGGGGCGGTCCTGATGCCCTTCCTTCTGCGCCGCTGCTGGTGGGGGCTCTGCCTTCAGAGCTGGGCAGCTGGGGAGCGGCGGCTGCTGGCTGGGAGCCCAGCTCTGAAGGCAGAGCCCCGCCAGCAGCAGGGCAGGTGGAAGGGTGGCCTGGTCTGGGATTGTCACCCTGAATTCTGCGCTGCTGGGGGCGGGGTGCTGCCTTTCAGCTGGGCACCCGGCCACCAGCCGCTGCTCTCCAGCCACCCAGCTCTGAAGGCAGCGCAGAAGTAAGGGTGGCAATATCACGACCCCCCTAAAAAACAGTGTGACCCCCCTGCAACTCCCTTTTGGGTCAGAACCCCCAATCTGAGAAGCACCGGTCTCCCCTGTGAAATCTGTATAGCACAGGGTAAAAGCGCACAGAAGGCCAGATTTCACAGGGGGAGACCCGATTTCATGCTCCAGGAGGCATTTTTCGTGGCTGTGAATTTGGTAGGGGCCTACTTACAAGGCATATTTGTACAAAACATTCACAGAGGTGAATATTGGGGTGCCAGGGTATCACGGGGCTCACCAGTAGGGCTGCGCTGGCCAGTTCAGCACAGTTCCTCACTTCTGTGCTTTATGCGGCGTATTGCCTTTTCCCCTGAAAAAGATCTTGTGTGCTTCTTATAACATCTGCACTGCGTTTCCTCTGGGCAGAGCTCTGCTTGCCGCAGAAGATGCCTGTGGCTGGCCACAGAGCCTTGTGGGGAGAGAGAAGACCAACCACTTGTGTGTGCCACCAGCTCTGGGTTCCCCCCTCACTGCCTGGGCCACTTGCAGAGCATTGTGGGTCTGGGAGCTCGTGGGCAAATCCAGGGGAACCTCCTTCTTTGAGCTTCACTCGCCTGGCCGTGACTGTTGGGAGCCGGCATCCCAGAGGTCCCGGTGCTCTGTCTGGCAAAGGGCATTTCCACCGGCTGGGGGGCTGGCCTGACAGGCCTGGGAAGGCAGAGGGCTTGGACTGCAGACTTGGCCTCCCCTGGTGCCCAGCCTGGCCCCTGCCCTGGGATGACAGTATCCGCAGGCATCAAACCCAGCGTGGGGGTAAGGCTGCAGGCCAGGCGTGTCACCCTGGCTCAACCAGGCAGCTTGCCATCCCCCTCTGCTGGCTGCACCATGCAAAGAGGCTGATGAGTCTGCTACTGCCCTGGGTGTTACAGCTGAAGGCTGGGTAGGGAGCCCCAGGCGGTGTGGGGGGAGCGAACAGGGGAGGGTGTTATGGGGGCAACCCAGGCCAAAGAGGGCGAGCGGAAGCTGGGTGGAACTGTGGGGGAGAGGTAAGGGCTCTGGGACAGAGGCTGTGGTCTTCCTTTGGAGCAGTGTCACCGGGGCAAAGGGCTGGCCAGATGCCCACTGGGGAGCAGGAGCTGCTCCCTATGGCCTGGCTGCAGCACTGGGTTGGGTGGGGAAATCCAGACGAAGGTGCCGCCCCCCTGCACACAGCCCATGGTCTTAGTGACGGCAGCAAAGCCCCAGTCCACTGGGGGGGGCTGTGGAGACAGACGCTCCCGTCTCATAGGGGCCCCCATGGGGTCGCTGGAGCCCAAAGTACGGGCTGCGTTGGCCGGGGCCCCTGCCGCAGCAGCCCGAGGGCAGGGCTCCTGGGACCCCGCAAAAGTCACCCCCTTGTTGGAAATGCCACCTGCCGTCCCTGGAGAGCAGGGGCCAGCTTGGCTGAACCTAGCCCCAGTGCCTGGGGGAATACTCAGGGATCTGCAGTTGCGTAGGGTTTATGGCTGGCTGGTCCGAGCCCCCGCGCACGCCAGAGCCGCTACCCCAGCCCCAGTGCTGAGCCCATTTTGGCCCAAAGCGTTTCAGCTGCAGGAGACCAAAGTGGGGCGGGGGGGCACAGGTGGAGAGCAGGAGAGACAAGGGGCCCCTGCGATGGTGAGGGATCGACTCTGTGTTCACCCCACACCTGCCCCTGAATGGGTTAAGGTGGCCGGGGACCAACTAATCCCTAGGCTGCCCCAGAGGGGGCACCAGGCAGCAAGAAGGGCTAATTGAAGGGTGAAGCATGCAGCCTGCCCCAGCCCCATGGCCCCATTCTACCCTCCCCCCCGGGCCCTGGCTGCCAGGCCCCTCGATTGCCCCGACGCACCCCCGGGCAGGACCGTGCCCCAGGCAGTCGGGGCCTGGCCCAGGGCACGTGTCCCCAGGCTGGTGGGGAGCGTAGGCTGGTGCGACGGAGTCTTAGGCTCCTGCTGCCACCACCCACCCCGTGATGGGGGCCCAGGCCCCCGCCTGCCCCACCCGGGGCGTATTGACATTGCCCCCGAGGGGCTCAGCTGCTTCGGCTGTGGACATTGGCCTCTCCCTGCAGCACAAGGGCCCTCAGGGGCCGGTTCCTGGCAGCCAATGGCCCCAGGCCATGCCGGGGATGGGGGAGCCGCTCCCAGTTAGTTGCCTGGCTGCTGAGTGGCGAGACCTGCACCCGCAGGCTGGGGGTGCTTGGCACGAAGGGGAGCCGATTTGCATGCAGGCAGAAGCTTTATTGAAAGGCCGGGCGGCAAAGGCAGGTTCCCGGCCGGGCGTCACAGCTGGGGGCAGCCCCTCCTGGCCGGGGCTACGGGCGCCGCAGGGCTCCGCTCTGCCCTGGCCACCCAGAGCTCAGGCGTCATCTGAGGAGGAGAGAGAGGCCAGTGAGGGACAGACAGACAGACTCAGTGCAGGGAATCGGGGAGCCTGACCCAGGCCGGACAGGCAGAGGGGCACTTAGGGGACTCCCCTCTCCAAGTAGCCCAGCTGATCTGTGGGGCCTCGGGTCAAACCCCCACGGCTACGTGTGCTCCACCCCTGGGGTACTGCACCATCCTCCGGGGCTCCCTGGGCAGAGCGGAGGAGCGGTCGTCCTCACGCCCCACTGGGGACAAAGCCACTGGGCTGGGAGTGCCCAGCCCTGCGCCCCCATGAGCTGGTTCAGCTGCCCCATGGCATGGCCCCAGCTGGCAATCACGGGGCACCAGGAGGCTGGTCCCTGGCTACGCCCCCAGACATGGGGGCGGGTTGTGGGGCCAGGCAGGCCTCGGCCTTCTGGGGGCAGGGGAGGACCAGCCAGCACTAGGGGCAGGAGGGGCCCCGGCTCCACACTGCCCCCGGACAAGGCGTCTGGTCTGGGGCTGGGCCCTGGGGCTGGACTCCGCAGCCAAGGCAGGATGGGGAGGCTTTGCCCTGCCACTGCCTGGACTGGTCCCTGTCCAGGGGGCACAGAAAACCCCAAACTTGGGCCCAGATCGGCCCGGCTTCCCAGCTCAGAGCAGCAGCCCCGGGCCCCACGCTTTGCTCAGCGCCCAGCGCTTGGTCAGGGAAGATCGAGCCTAGAACCCCATGGAGCTTGTGACTCTACCCCCCACAGTGCTGAATGGGCCCCCCAGGGATCTGTCCGTCACGCCCATCACCCTGGCATCAGTCCCCCACCACCTGCCCTTCCCCCGCCCCCCATTTTCACCTAGTCAGTGTCACTCTCTGCCCCCCATCTGTGGCCCAGCCCATCCCCTCAGCTCTGCCCTCACCTGGCAGAGGGCGTCACGGTCCCGAGGCATCCACCAGGCTCTCTGCAGCCGGGGCCCGGTGCAGGCCAGGAACCTGCCACCCTGGAGACCACGGAGAACATGGGCGTTATCTCAGCCACTGCCACCCAGCCAGGGCCCAGTCCCCCGGCCGCTCACAGCCATGACCACGGACCCTGCATCCCCCCGCAGGGATCGAACCCGGGGCACTCAGCGCCCAGTCGCTCACACCTGAGCTAAGGGTGTAACTCCCTCCGGGCGCAGCAAGCAGCCGGCTGGGGTAGTGACAGGGGCCGGCCGCTAGAGAGCGACATGCACTGGGCCAGCGCTTCCCATGGGGAGGGGTGCAAGGGGGCTGGGGCTGGGGCCCGGAGAGAGGTTGTAGGAAGTGGGTGCACAGAGCTGTGGGGGGACAGGGTGCTCTGCAGAGACGGGCTGAGCCCCCTTCCTCCTAGCTGCAGCTGGCAGAGCCAAGCCCTGGCCCCACACGCCCCACACGGGAGGGCTGGGAATCCAGCGTGGTCTGTGTCTCCCCAGATAGGGGCGCATGGCGGCTGTGAGCAGAGAGCCCAGAGTGGGGGTTGTGGGTCAGACCGAGGGGTGCTCTGCTCTGACAGCCCCCTGGAAGGAGACAGGCTGTGGGGGGCTAGGCCCGGCCAGAGCCCTGGAAATCAGCCCATGGGGTGGCTGAGCGGAGCCCCTTTACCTCCCCGGCCCCCGATCCCTGTGGGGGGAGGGGTGGGCAGCACATTCCTGCGGAGGGGGGCACCGCGCCCACTTCCGCAGCTGCCACTCTTGTGAAATCGCTTTTCTCCGGAGCGGCTCCTTTGATATGGGCAGGCTGCCCAGCCCTGAGCGCTCCCTGGTCTCAAGTGCCCTCGCGGGGTCGGAGATGCTTTGTGGGCACAGACGAGGGCCCTTCGCGGCACAAGGTGGGGCTTGGGAAAGTCCGGGGGAAGAACGGGGGCGGGGGGAGTCAGGCAGCTGTGGGAAGGGAGCCCTGGGGGGTGATGGCTCGGGGCACTGGCCTTTCACCTCTCGGTCACCGTGAGGTACCAGCGCCGGGGTGGGGGCCGGTGCCCGGATGCCTAGGTTCAATTCACGCCTCTGCCAAAAACTCCCTGGGTGAGCCAGAGCAAGTCCAAATCCAGCGGGCTCTCTGGGGCCTTCAGGCCTGGCCCTGTGCCTCAGTGTCCCCTTAGGCAGGGCTCTGGCCCGCTGTGGGTCCCAGGCGCTCAGGCAGGGGTTAGGGAGACAGGATGGAGGAGCAGCTTCGGGGGTGGGGGGCGCTGGGCAGCAGGGACCCATGGCCAGCTGGGGGCACCAGAGGGCAGCAGCCCGGCCGCAGGGCTGGGGCTGGGTGACCCCACAGCTCCCGTGCCCAGGAGCAAGCCCCCTCCCCCTCCATTGACAGGAGTAGTACATCCCCTCCCCCGCTGGGTTCCCAGCCCAGGTGGGAGCAGGGGGCACCCATGGGCCAAGCTGGGGGAGGTGGGACCCTGGCAAACGCCCTGACTTTGGTTCCCCCAGACCTGATCCCTGGTGGGAGGGGGCGGGAGGCTGCGGGGGAGACCCGAGCTCTGCCCTCCAAGAGCCAGGGGCCCCACAGAGCCAGCCTGGTGCCCAGCCCCCAGCGCGCCGGCCCCAGCTCCCCAGGGGTCTGCTCAGCCGGGTGCGGTGGGCTCGGGGCGGCCCCTCCCCCTCACCTGGGTGGCCCGGGCTCTCATACATGCCGATGGAGACGCAGATGTCTTGGGGCTCCAGGTCCTGGGCCAGCCCGTCCTCGATGGGCTGCACGTACCGATCCACCACCCGGTGGCACTTGCCTGCCCAGCTGAGGACGAAGGTGGAGCAGATCTTCTTTATGGCCATTCCCACGCTGCTCTGCGGGATGGCAGGGGAGCGCTGGGCAGGCACTGGCTGGGGGGCATTGCTGGCACATGATGGCTGATATCACATTGGTAGATGTGCAGGTGAACGACCCTCTGACAGTGTGGCTGATGTGATTAGGCCCTGTGATGGTGTCCCCTGAATAGATATGTGGACACAGTTGGCAACGGGCTTTGTTGCAAGGATAGGTTCCTGGGTAAAAAGAAAAGGAGTACTTGTGGCACCTTAGAGACTAACCAATTTAACTTCCTGGGTAAGTGGTTCTGTTGTGTGGCTTATGGTTGCTGGTGAGTATTTGCTTCAGGTTGGGGGGCTGTCTGTAGGCAAGGACTGGCCTGTCTCCCGAGATCTGTGAGAGTGATTGGTTGTCCTTCAGGATAGGTTGTAGATCCTTGATGATGCGCTGGAGAGGTTTTAGTTGGGGGCTGAAGGTGATGGCTAGTGGCGTTCTGTTATTTCTGTCCTGTAGTAGGTGACTTCTGGGAACTCTTCTGGCTCTGTCAATCTGTTTCTTCACTTCAGCAGATGGGTATTGTAGTTGTAAGAATGCTTGATAGAGATCTTGTAGGTGTTTGTCTCTGTCTGAGGGGTTGGAGCAAATGCGGTTGTATCGTAGAGCTTGGCTGTAGACAATGGATCGTGTGGTGTGGTCTGGGTGAAAGCTGGAGGCATGTAGGTAAGTATAGCGGTTGCCAACTGTGTTCACAGATCTATTCAAGGGACCCCATCACAGGCCTAATAACACCAGCCACACGATCAGAGGCTTGTTCACCTGCACATCTATCAATGTGATATATGCCATCGTGTGCCAGCAAGGCCCCTCTGCCATGTACATTGGTCAAACTGGACAGTCTCTACGTAAAAGAATAAATGGACACAAATCAGACATCAAGAATTATAACATTCAAAAACCAGTTGGAGAACACTTCAATCTCTCTGGTCACTCGATTACAGACCTAAAAGTGGCAATTCTTCAACAAAAAAACTTCAAAAAGAGACTCCAACGAGAGACTGCTGAATTGGAATTAATTTGCAAACTGGATACAATTAACTTAGGCTTGAATAGAGACTGGGAGTGGATGGGTCATTACACAAAGTAAAACTATTTCCCCATGTTTATTCCCTTCCCCCCCCCCCCACTGTTCTTCTCAACTGCTGGAAATGGCCCACCTTGATTATCACTATAAAAGGTTCCCCCCCTACCCCCACCCTCCGCTCTCCTGCTGGTAATAGCTCACCTTTCCTGATCACTCTGGTTACAGTGTGTATGGTAACACCCATTGTTTCATGTTCTCCGTGTATATAAAATCGTCTTACTGTATTTTCCACTGCATGCATCCGATGAAGTGAGCTGTAGCTCACAAAAGCTCATGCTCAAATAAATTGGTTGGTCTCTATGGTGCCACAAGTCCTCCTGTTCTTTTTGTGGATACAGACTAACACGGCTCCTACTCTGAAAGCAAGAAGAGTCCACCCTAAAAAGAAAAGAACAAAAGTACAACTGAAGAAACATCAAAGCCAGGTCCTAGGCTGAAAGTCAATTGCAGACATGACTAACCCCTAGGCTGCCCCCGGAGGGGGCGCCAGGCAGCAAGAAGGGCTAATTGAAGGGTGACGCTCCCCTGGGCGGTAACGGTGGGGCTAGTATAACGCCAGGTAGCTGAGGGCAGAAGGGAGCTGCGGGGAGGAAGTCGGCGGTGCCTCTCTCTGAGGCTAGGGAGAGCAGGGAGCTGGCCCGGAGGGCAGGCTGTATCCAGATGAGCCTGAGAGCCCAGGGAAACAGCTGCCAGGTGTGGGACTGTGCAGACCTTCGCTGCTGGTTGCAGGGTCCCTGGGCTGAGGGGTCCCGTCCCGGAGCAACAGGCCCGGTGTGAGGCATGGCTCTGGAACAGTCCCTGGGAGGAGCCCTTCAGTGTGTCAGCCCCCCTCAGGGTCACACTTTTCCACTAGGGCTGGCCACTTGGCTTCCCCGCCTCCTGGGACTGACCCTTGGAGCTTCAGCACCCCTGGATCACACCACAAGCTCCCTGCAGCGAGTCCACCTGGATCAGAAAACTGAGGGAGTCTGGTACCCCCAAAGGTAGGGTTACCATACGTCTGTATTTTCCCAGACATGTCCGGCTTTTTGGTTCTTAAATTGCCGTCCGGGAGGAATTTTTAAATATCTAAAAACGTCCGGGATTTTGCCATTATTATTTTTCCCCAAAGAAGAGTTGATCATTCAAGAAAGAGAGTGAATGTTGATCACTCGAGAGAGTGCCCGCTTTCCCCCCCCTAGCTCCCAGTGCTTGCGCTGTGAAACAGCTGTTTGCGCAGCTGGGGGGGGAGGAGGGGGAACGCGGTGCACTCAGGGGAGGAGGCAGGGCCGGGGCGGGTATTTGTGGAAGGGGTCCAATGGGGCAGGGAGGGAACGGAGTTGGGGCAGGGACTTTGGGGAAGGGGTTGGAATGGGGGCGGGGAAGGGGTGGAGTTGGGGTTGGGCTGGGAGCAGGGAGGGGCACGGGCAAATACCCACCCCCTTGGAGTGTCCTCCTTTTTGAATGTTCAAATATGGTAACCCTATCCCAAGGGAGCACTGCACCCCCCCTGAGCCAGCACATCTGTGAACACCAGGAAGGACTGGTCCAAGTCTGGATCTATCACCACAGGCCCTGGCTTAGAGCTTCCTTCAGCGCACAGAGAGCCCCCGGCACTGCTCGGTCCAGACCAGCTCGTCTGGCTCACAGTTCTCGTAGTGTGGTGATGGGAGCTGCCAGGAGGCTAAAGTGGAGTACAAACCTCTGGCAGCGCCCCGCCATCCTGCTAAAGGCCTGGGGCTGTATCTTGGTTCGGGGAGCAGGCCAATCTCTGATTGCCTCCACTTTGGCCGGCTCTGGCTATACACAGCCGCTTCCCACCTCGTGGCCCAGCCAGGTACGATACCTCGGCCATCCCCACTTTGCACTCAGTCCTGCTTCCTAAGGCGGCCCAGCCCCCTCCTCACCTGGGACACATGGTCCTCCCAGGGCTGGCTAAGGACACAGCAAGCATCAATGTATGCCAGGACAAAGTTCTCCCTCCTGCTCAGTAACTGACCCGCCAGGCGGTGGCAGGTGCCCCCTTGAGGCCGAAAGTCAGGACCAGGAACTCACAGAACCCCAAAGGGGTGATGAGGGCAGATTTCAAGCTGGCCTCTGGGTCCAAGGCACCTGCCAGTAGCCTTGGGTGAGGTCCATGGTGGGGAGGTAATGAGCTCCCCATAACTTGTTTAGGATCTCACCAGGCCTAGGCATGGGGCAGGCACCAGACATGGTGATGGCATTGAGCTTCTGATAGGCTACACAGAATCGGATCAACCCATCTTTCCTGGGGATCAGCCCCACAGGTGAGGCCCAGGGGCTGGAGGATGACTGGACCACCCCTAAAGCCAGCATTTCTCCGACCTCTCTCTCCAGGACCTGGGCTGTGTTCCCAGTGACTTGGAACAGGGAACACCTGATGGGAGGTTTGGCTCCTGTCCCCACCTGGTGGACAGCCAGGTTAGTGAGCCCAGGCCAGTTGGAGAACAGCTGCTGGCAGGAAAGTAGCACCCCTCTGATCTGTGCCTGCTGGGCAGGGGCTAGCCCTTGGGGGGTCATGAGGTTATTACCTGGGGGGTTGTGAGCTGTCAGCCTCCATCCTCAACCACACTTCGCCTCCAGCATTTACAATAGTGTTAAATATAAAAAATGTGTTTTTAATTTATAAAGAGGGTCACACTCAAAGACTTTCTGTGTGAAAGGGGTCACCAATGCAAAAGTTTGAGAACCACTGGATTAGCTGACCAGAGGGGGATTGATTCCAGCTGGAGGTTGGCTCATCTCAGGGAAGAGACCCACCAGGGGACCCTCCTCCTGCTCCTCCCACTGGCCACACACAGCCAGCATCAGCCTCTCCCTGTCCCAGTATGGCTTCATCACGTGGCCATGGCACACCCGGTGGCTGTGAGCCTGGCTGGACAGCTCCACCACATAGTTCACCTCATTCAGCTGCTTGATGACCTTGAAGGGCCGTCCCAGGTGGCCTGGAGCTTATTCCTCTACACTGGGGCAAGAACCCTCCCTGGTTCTCAGTGCCATAGGAGCGGGCATGCACTGTGTGCTCATTACCAGGCCTTCTGCTTCCCTGGGGCCCTGGCTAGGTTCCCCCAGCCAGACCCATGAGCTCCGTGAGCTTTTCCCGGCAAGCTCAGCACATACTGCACCACCAATTCCCCAGTGGAGAGGCCCTCCCCTCCCATTTATTCCTCACCAAGTCCAGGGGCCCCTCACTCTCAGACAGCCATTCGAAAGGGGAGAACCGCCTGGATTCCTAGGGCACATCCCGCTATGCAAACAGCAGGTGGGGTAAATACTTGTCCCAGTCCTGCAGGTGCTGGTCCATAAAAATCCTCAGCACCATCTTCAGGGTCCCATTAAATTGCCCCACCAGCCTGTTGGACTGAGGGGGATACACCAAGATCATTTGTACTGGACCCCATGCTTCTCCCACAAGCCCCAGATTGGGGCTGGCATGAAATTGGACCCCTGCTCTGTGTAAGTGGGGGAACAGTCCCGCTCTTGTGGGGAACTTTCCTGGCTTCTGCACTACCCTGGTGAAGTGGGCTAGCGAAAGGATCTGAGTCCTCGCTCCCACTTCCTTTACCCAGTGGCCTCTGTGACGATGTGACTCAGCAGGGAGGGGGGAGTGTTGACCTGGGAATGTGCCCTGGGGATGGGAGACCTGAGAGCCTGTCACCTGAGCCAGGAGGGGGAGGGGGAGGTAACACCTCTGCCCAGGAATGTGGACGGAGACTGCAGCAGGGAACCTGCTGGGTGGGTTTAGTTTTCAGTTGGGGGCTGGGGAGAGGAACACAGGGAACCCCAGGGCTGGAATCTAAGCTCCCTGCTCCCCCAGAAGGACATGATTGAGGGGTCCTGG